GGAGTTTTGGCAGGTTGTGTCTTTCAAGGAATTGGTCCATTTCATCTAGGTTTCAAATTGTGGGCATGGAGTTGTTCCTAGTATTCTTTTATTATCCTTTTAATGTTCATAGTATGTGTAGTGATGGCCCCTCTTTCATTTCTGATATTAGTAATTTGTGTCCTCTCTATTTTTTTCTTAGTTATCTTGGCTAGGGTCTTATCATTTTTATTGATCTTTTCAAATAACCAGTTTTGATTTATTGGTTTTCTCTATTGATTTGTTTTCAATTTCATTGGTTTCTGCTCTAATTTTTATTATTTCTTTTGTTTTCTAAGGTGCAAGCTTAGATGATTAATTTTAGACTTTTCTTCTTTTCTACTATATGCATTCAATGCTGCAAATTTCCCTCTAAGCACTGCTTTTGCTGCATACCACAAATTTTGATAAGTTGTGTTTTTATTTTCATTTAGTTCAAAATATTTAAAAATTTCTCTTGAGATTTCTACTTTGACTCAAGTGTTGTTAAGAAGTATGTTGTTTAATCTCCATGTATTTTGGGACTTTCCAGTAATCTTTTTGTTATTTATTTCTAATTTAATTCTATTGTGGTCTAAGAGCACACATTATGTGAGTTCTATTGTTTTTAATCTGTTAAAGTTTGTTTTATGGCCCAGAATGTGGTCTATCTTGGTGAGTATTCATAGTGTTTTAAAGTATATCTCTTTGTATAGAACACTCCACCCAACAACAGTAGAATGCACTTTTCCCCGAAGCACCCCCAGAACATTTACCAAAGGGACCATGTTCTTGGCCATAGAACAGACCTCAACAAATTTAAAAGAATTGAAATCATACAGAGTCTGTTCTCTGAGCACATTGGAATCAAACTACCAATCGAGAAGAGAAAGACAACAAAAAAGTCTCTAAGCACTTGGAAATTATACAATTATACAACACACTTCTAAATAATCTATAGATCAAAGAGGAAGTCTCAAAAATAATTTTAAAAATATGTGTAGAATTGAATGAAAATGAAAATATAACATACAGATATATGTAACATGCTGCTAAAGCAGTGCTGAGAGAGAAATTTATAACACTAAATGCTTACATTTTAAATGAAGAAAAGTCTCAAGTCAATAATCAAAGTTCCTACATCAAGGAACTAGAGAAAGAACAAAATAAACCCAAAGCAAGCAGAAGGAAGGAAATAATAAAGAGCTGGAATCAATGGAATTTAAATAGGAAAACTATACAGAAAATTAAATGAAATAAAAATCTGATTCTTTGAAAAAATCAATAAATAATGTTGACAAACTTCTAGCAAGACTGGTAAAAATAAAAAGAGATGAGACACAATCACCAATATCAGAAATGAAGTATGGCATAACACTACGGATTCTGTAGTCATTAAAAATATAATAAGGGAATACTATGAAAAACTTTATGTTCATTTATTTGACAACTTAGAAGAAATGGACCAATTCCCCCAAAACAACAAACTACTAAAACTCACCCCATATAAAATAATCTCAATATTTCTATAATCATTAAAGAAATTGCATTCATAATTTTAAAAGCTCCTGAAAAAAAAATCTCCAGCCTAGATACTTTCACTGGATAATTCTACCAAACATTTAAAAAATAATTAACACCAATTTTACACAATCTCTTCCAAAAAAATAGAAGAGGAGGGAACACTTCCAACTCATTTTAGGAGGCTAGTATTATCTTGATACCAAAACCAGACAAAGACAGTATGAAAATATAAAACTACAGATCAATAGCTCTCATGAACTTAGACTCAAAAACACTCAACAAAACACAAGCAAAGTGAATCCCACAATGTCTGAAAAGAATTCTACACCATGACTAAGTGGGATTTATTTCAGGCATGCAAGGCTGGTTCAACATTCAAAAATCATTTAGTGTAATCTGGGCCGGCCCCATGGCTTAGCGGTTAAGTGCGTGCTCTCCGCTGCCGGCGGCCCGGGTTCGGATCCCGGGTGCGCACCGAGGCACCACTCCTCCAGCCATGCTGAGGCCGCATCCCACATACAGCAACTAGAAGGATGTGCAGCTATGACAGACAACTATGTACTGGGGC